TAATATAAAACATTAAAAAATATTAATTAAAAATAAAAAAATATTAAAAAAAAAACTTAAAAAGACTATTAAGTAAATATGCCTTGTATTAAATTAGTTGGTTACATGTAACATTAATTTTATTCATGTAAAATATATTTATTGCTAGTAAATGTTTTTTTTATCTTTAATATTCATTTATATTTCATTAATTAATCTAGGGTAAGATAAGTCTATTTGATAAAAATATTTTTTATAAAATGTTATAAAATTATTATAATTATGAGATAAATATTACATTAAGGTATTGTTCATAAATGTTCTTGGTCAATGTTATAGTACGATTCGATATTAATTAGAGTTGTTGAGATCAATTCATATTATATTCCTTTCTTTATGAAAGGAATATAATTATGAGATTAATTAGAGTTGCTCTTATAAATTCAAATATAAGGGATGTCTAAAACTAATATATAGGTGCTTATCAGATGATATATGTAACAAATTGATTTGTAAGAGAATTTCATATAGAAAGATCACTCCTGTTTATGAAAAGACTCACATAATAGTTGTGAAAGTGATCATTAGACTTAAAATTACTAAGTTATTTTATATAGGGTGTGTTATATTTTGGGTGTGACCATACATTGTCTTAATCAAGGGTGATAAAATGGTAGATATTGAGTATAACATAACTATATGAAGGGATTTGAGTAATTAAGAGAGGATTCATCACCCTAAATGAATTAGAAAAAATATTTTATATGTTCTTAAAAGGTATTAATTGCAAAATCCTTAATCAATGTAGAATAAGTTTTGAAATGAGTTTTAAAATCTTATTCAAATAATCAATATCTATAATGTTAAGAATAAACGTGATTTATAAAATTAGATATACTCCATGTTATGATGATGTTTAAATTAAAACATTTTTCATGAAGGAGTAATAATTACACTGAGAAACTAGTTACTAAAAGGTTAAATCAAACCACTTATAAATTTTACTTCCTTAATAATTGGGGCATCATGACAAATTAATAGATATTGTATTTGATTTTCAAATATAAATCAATTATTTTTAAATTGATAATAAATTAAATTATCTAATCATATTTTATTTAGAATTATGATCTATATTTGGGCTGACTTATTAGGAAATCTAATGGGTCATATATATAAAAACCATTAGTTAAAAATTAAAATAGGATGATTAATCAAGTGTGACTTGATTGTAAATAAATTTTAGAAATTGAGGACTAGAATGTAATTGATACAAGGGATTACAATTCTAGACTTACAAAACAATTAAGTGGGTGCTTGATTGAATAAATCTCTAAAATTACCCTAAAATACTATATATGATATTATTTAAGGAGAAAATTGATATTTCACAATTTATAGGGTTTTTAGATTTCTCTAAAAATAGAATTCTATGCCTTTTATTTCTAAAGTGAGTAGAGTAAAATATAAAATCATCTAAAACATAAAAGAAAAGAGTTAACACTTTAAGGTATAACAATCTCTCTCTTTTAAAAAGGTTTAAGAGATTTCTTATTGGTGGTTCATGTGGATTACCGTTAGAAATCGGACACTTTGACAAATTGTGGTTTGTGACAATTCAACTTTGAAACAATTATTCAAAGTTGTAAACAACTCTAAATCTTTCTAATAGAATCTTTAAAACTTTACAAAAAATTTAAATTTATTGTTTCCTCTATGTGTATGTATTTTGAAAACCCAACAAAAACACAATTAAAAGATATACAACCAAAGTGTAAAAAATAACAAAATCTACTGACCAACTAAATTTAGCATGACAAAGTTCATTTTTTATCCATTTATTTTCATTTTTTATCTTATTAAATACCTTTGGTTTTTTGAAATTTTATTTTAGTTCTATACTTTATTTTTTTTATTTCTTAGTTTTTTATACGAGGGAAGGGAGAGAAGTTATTAAATTACGGTGATAAAGAAAAAAAAATCAATTCACCACAATCCAATTATAAAAATAAACAATCTTGGTGTTAACGAGTCTTATTCAACAAGATGATTTTAATTGTGATGATTTTTTCTATAAAAATGTCTAAATATATATATATATATTGGTTCTGCTTAGTTTTTTTGGTTTGATTGATTTTAATTTTATAAGTGGTTTTATAGTGTTTTGGGCTAATAAATGATTTAGATAGGAATGTTTATGAATATAATTGAGTCAGATCTAAACTTATATATAATTATACCAACCTCACTTCTAATAAATCTTTTTATAAAATAATGTATATAAACTTCAAGTTTTCTAGTACTTAATTTTCAGACTATTTTCTATAAAATGAATCAAAGTTAAACTCTCGTGATTTTTTCGAAACCGATGAAGCCAATTATCATAGGATATTTAAAGGGAGTACTAATTTTACCTCGAACTAGCTAACTTGAGATGAACAGATTGAATAAATTCAAGCTAGGAGGGTAGGCCAGAAACTCGGTGTGCATTATCCATCTGAAACCATGGCAGTTCACTCAAACATAATATCCCCCTCTCCTTTTATCCAAAAACACCATCATCAGACGTATTTAGGGTTTTCTGTCGAAATTTGCTGGTTAATCTTCCCCTGTAATCTTCACGTTTCTGCTGAATGTCTCTCCTTACATGTTACAGGTGCCTGTTCTTTTGCCTAATACGTATAACTGTTGAAATTCGTTGAACACCAATATTATCCAAAACCTCTTCTCTTCCACTTTACCAGTAGCCCCAGACATCTGTTAGATATTGTCAGGTCTATATCAGTCTATCAGAACTTGAAAAGGAGAATTTATTTTATAATACTGCTTGACCAGTCTAATATTCCCTGAACCAATCATGTGCTAAGAGGCCATACTTAATTATGCTCAATCATGAGCACTAGATTCATTTTTCTCAGGTTGTCCCTGTATTTCCTTGTAATTTCTTAAGATTCTTTGAACTTATTTCTCATGGCTTGATTAGTCTTTCGGCTTTGACTTAGCTTGGATTAAAATGGAAGGGAGTTTTGAGTTTATATCATCACTGTTTCCATCACGAAAGGTCAAACAATGAGAAATAATCTCTAAAAAACAACCTAGCTAGTTCAGCTTTGGATGACTAACATTTGATCTCAGTGGGCACAAAAGAATTTAAGAAACAGTGAGACACAGTCGAAACGATGAACTTCGGATAAGGACAGCAATGCTTTGGACCCTTTACAGCTACAAGGTTGTTCCTTTTAGGAGCCAGTATGCCATCGGATAAATCACACCGGCCAACAGAGTAGGCCAAAGAATGATAAAAGCAGCTTCTCAATGAATCATCTCAAGTAATGGACAGTGAAAATCAATTTCAGGTCAAGACTTGAATGGTTTATATATATATATATATATCCGAGGAAAAGCTCGTATATTTATTTTTTTACTGAAAAAAGCATACATGAATTGTAGCGAAGTAGCTTAGAGCTACTAGGGGACAGCCATGCTCACTTAATATCACTTTACCTATATATTGAGGGAACTTGTTACTATTTATTAATAAGAACTAAGTGAGGAGGGAAGATCATCATTTTTTTTCACTGAGTATCGGAACAATAATTTGTATTTTTTTAAAATATTTTTTAAAAATTTATTTTTTAAAAATTAAATTTTATAATTTATTTTGATTTACTTTTTATAAGATTATCTCAATTTTATAATCTGAGTTAAGAGTTTTATAAATTAACCCGATTGGTTTGGGTCTTGTATAGTTTTTTTTTATGATTGATTCTTTTTTAATTTCATTCTTTACTATTTAAGGTGATTGATAATTAAATTTTATTATATTTTTTATTTTTTTTTAAAAATATTATTACAATATTATAACTCAAGTAATGAATTTTATATATTAATATAGATTAATTCAAATTGATCCAGTATATTATTATTATTTTAATATTACAAAAATAACATTTTAAAATTATTTTAGTTAAACTGTTTGATCCCCCGATTATATAGGTTATGTTTGGATTTACTGGATTATGTAGGTAATTTTTTTCCTGCTTCAAAACACGCGTCATCAATACAGAAATACCTTTTCAACAAAATTATTCCAAAAAGTAGCGTCACTGGCGATCAATTGGTAGAGTGAGCTAGTGTCATGAATTTGGCGGTGTCTAACCAAAGACATATATAACCATCCCTGGTGAATGTCAAAAGCAGGCACTTCAAACAGCTGTTTCACCGATGACCACTTGTTTTCCAGGGAATCAGAGGTAAAAGCGAATTCATAGTCGGCTCCAACCAGGCTTAACATTCTCTTGTCACTGTAGGAATTTTTGTTTGTGAAGTTTCATTTTCATGGTGTACGACCTTAGAGTCAACTTTAAGGTTGATGAAGTACCATGCCTGCGTGCTTATATATGTATATATAACTTTCAGGTGAAAGAATTTGAGCATCATGATTTGACTTAAGTCAACTTCCATGGCAGCTTCTTTTTTAAAGGATCCATGCATTTACTAAATATCGCCATGAAAATAGTATCTATAAAAGAAGCAACTTGTAAATCCATGAGTTGTTGAGGCATGTTTTTCCCTGGGAAGAATTTGTAATCCTATCTTGTTCTATATATCCTTCCAGGAAAGGTGATAAAAAGCAACAAAACTGTACCAGTGTCGACGCAAGATAAAATCTTCATCGTGTATTTTAATGTTAAAGCACCATGGATAGGAATCTCTTTCTTCCCATTTGATCATCCTTCCGTGTAACTGAATGGTCCAAACCTTACTTTTTATTTTTTTTTCCCTCTTTGTGAGAATATATAAGAACCTCAAGATAACATTCTCAGCGAAAAAAGGAGGTCAGAAAATCCAAAAAGCTTGAAAAGCTAGGAGGAACAAAGCAAGGAATTGTGCTTAATTGATCAATTTGCACAAGCCTAGCTATAAATACCGCATCTTGCGATGACTTTGTACAGTAGATTAAACTTGGAAGGAAAACGATATCCATCTCCTCAACTGGCTTCTAGTTTTCATTTAGAAGCGCTCACTTAACTCTCATTGCTCTAGTTGCAACAGAATTGACATTGGAGAGATAAGGGTTTGCCTGCCACTTCTTGAACTTGTACTGATCAGAAGGTGATTTTTTTTATATATACATAAAAAAACTTTAATATTATGCGTTATGAACGTGTATCTTTTCAGATTGATGCACGTATATCTTTAACATTTAACAAGCTTTGGAACATTGTGGCTTGTATAAACAGGTTGATGATGAACCTTTGTAAGTCCCTGTGCCCACAAACAAGTCGGATGCTTGATATCCCTCCTGGGAGGCTCAAAATGGACATGCTAAGTCCCAGAAGCCGGCAAAAGGAGAAGGTTGTGATAGTAATGGGGCCTACTGGAACTGGCAAGTCTCGGCTCTCTATTGAACTTGCAACCCAGTTCCCTGCAGAGATCATAAACTCCGACAAAATGCAGGTTTACAAAGGACTTGACATAGTCACTAACAAAGTTGCTGAGGAAGAGAAATCTGGTGTCCCTCACCATTTGTTAGGAATAGCAAATCCTAATGTGGACTTTACAGCAACAAATTACTGTCACACGGCTTCCTTGGCTGTCGAATCAATTTCGACTCGAGGATTGCTCCCGATCATTGTGGGAGGTTCCAATTCATACATTGAGGCCTTGATGGATGATGAGGATTTCAGGTTACGGTTGAACTACGATTGTTGCTTCCTCTGGGTAGATGTATCAATGCCTGTGCTACATAAATTTGTTTCGAGGCGAGTCGAGCAGATGGTTAGTATGGGGATGATCGATGAGGCCAGAAACATTTTCGATCCCTACGCTGATTATTCTACGGGGATCAGGAGGTCAATTGGAGTTCCTGAATTCGACAAGTACTTCAGAGCTGAAGCATTTTTGGATGAAGAAAACCGTGCCAGACTACTTCATGAAGCAATTTGCGATGTCAAAAAGAATACATGTAAGTTAGCTTGCCGTCAATGGGAAAAGATTAATCGGCTTAGGAAGATCAAGGGGTGGGACATCCATAGACTTGATGCCACTGAAGTATTCCAAAAGTCGGGAAAGGAAGCAGAGCATGCCTGGGAAATGCTTGTGGCCAGACCCAGCACTGCCATTGTGGGACAGCTCCTCTGCGGTGTTCCTGCTGATAAGGTCCCCGCCATAGCTAGCGTAGCAAAAACCATGGGCTATCTTCGACAATGCCTTGTGGCATAGCCGTTCAACATGGCTAATTAACGACTTTAGAAAGGGATATCATATACAATATTATCTAAGTAGAGGGCTATCAAGGCAGGAGTCATCAGCAATAACATTATCCCATTACTGGGAGGTTTTGTATTGGATGTTTTTTGGGAGATTACTGGAAACAATTTAATTACATCTCTTTCTTTTGCTCTTTGGATCGCTCTGACTGTATGTTCAGTATCATATTGTCCCAGTTTCCATAATCTCACAGTTAGGCTCCTCCATTAATGACTGTATGTTGTCTGGTAAACGTCCAAAAATGCCAACAACATACAGATTCACTAAACATGCTAGCTAGAAACATGAAAAACAACATAAAAAATCAACAAAAATCATGTTTCAAGCCTTGTTCACGAAGAATCAATCACAAACTAGCAGCATAGGCAGGTCTTAATTGCCAGAAAGATGATGTTGCACAACATCAACGCACGAAGCAAATGTAAAAGGGAGAAAGACTATCAAATCAGCAGTGATTAGAAGTGAATAGTTATAGAGGCTATACTCTTGACCACCTCCAATCAGCAGTGATTAGATTATCAAACTGTAGTTCATGTTTTTTTTTTTATATATATATATTTGATATTTTTATAATTTTATGCTTAGCTTATTTATTAATATTTTTTCTTATATTCATTTTTTTGTAATGTTTTTCTAGTTTTTCCTCTCTTTTCTTCCTTATAATTGTTTTGGAAAAAAATATTATTTTTTATTTTTTACACTTTAAATATTTATCATTCTACACTTGACTTATTTATATTATTCCTTTTGTAATTTTTTTTGTTTTTTATTTACATTTTAAAAAAATATTATACAAAAAGTAAGGAAATGATGTTTCATTTTAGCAATTATAATATTGTTCAATTCTTTTATTACGTAAAAAATTATCTTGATATCTTATATGTTTTTATTAATGTATTTAATATTTATTATATATAAATATTATTTTTTTAATTTATAATTATATTTTTTTTACTCAATAACAAAAAAAAAAGAGAAATAAGTGTAGATGGATCAAAACACCAAATACATATTTGGCACCCATGAATTTCTGACAGAATCTGTGATAGGCCTTTGGACTAGTATTGGAATCAGAATAATAGACTTAGAGCATGTCTGAGAAGCCAAGCCTAAAAGAATCTGTCACTTGAAATTAACTAACTTGATATTGTTAAGATTCTGTTATATTATTGTAAGTATAAAGCAATTAGAGCTAGATAATTATAACTGCTTTACAGTTATATTAGACTGATTGTGTGTGTGTGTGTGTAGCGACACACACATATATAGTTTACTCCTCTAGCTAAAGATAATAAGAAGAGAATAGAAATTTATTCTCTTAAAATTTTTTTTGATACCAAAGCCTTTCGATCAAAGATCCAATTATGGCTTCTGCTTCTACTCAATCTTCTTTAGCTTTTGGCTTGATTTGATCTGGACAAAGCATAACAATGACATCCATTCCTTCCTATCAGATGTTTAACCACACGCTGCCTGTGAAACTTGATCGAACTAATTATATATTGTAGAGATTTTAAATTAACAATGTGGTTTATGCTAATGGTTTTGAGGATTTTATAGATGGAACCTTTATTTGTTTAGAGAAAAAGCTAAGTCCAGGAGCGCTTAATGCTTAATCCAGTGTTTATTGCTTGGAGAAGACAAGATCGCACAATGCTCAACTAGATCTACTCTACTCATCTCTCATTCTAGCAATCATAGCACAAATCACAGGCCATAATTTTTCTCACTTTGCTTGGAATGCATTGGAGAAAACCTTCTCGTCGTCTTCAAGAGTCAGAATAATACAACTAAGGCTCGAGTTACAGTCTATAAAGAAAGAATCTCTAGCTATAATAGACTATATCATAAAGGTCAAAGGAGCTGCAGATAGTCTAACAACTATTAGAGAACTTATCTAAAAACAAGACTAAGATATAAATCTCCTTTAAGACCTTGGATTAGACTACAATGTAGTTGCTACTGCTATTAATATAAGAGATGACAAGATCTCTATTAAAGTTGTTTACAGTATGCTTCTAGCTTTTGAGCATTGTCTTGAGCAACAAAACCCGATTAAACATATCTCTACTATGTTTGTCAATTATACATCTTCCTCTAATAACAAAAATGGTGGAAGAACTTATAATGGCAGTTGAGGACAAAATTATACTCCCAATATTAGCAACTATACCTACAGAGGTCGTGGTTGAGGAGGTAGACATAGACAAAATCAAAGGCATAATTTAACCAACTCTGAGAAGCCACAATGCCAGTTATGTAGCAAATTTGGTCATACACTTCAGGTTTATTATCACAGGTTTGATATCTCCTATCTCTTAGAACAGTGATACTTTTTCTTGAATGCTGGTAATCAAAACTCTATTCTTACTATGGTTGCCTTCTCTAATAGTCTTGCATATGACACTTAGTATCTTGATTCTGGCGTAAGTCATCATCTAACTCAGAATATGGAAAATCTAACCAGTTATACACCCTACACGGGGCTAAATAAGGTCAAAATTAGGAATGGTAAGCACCTATCCATTTCCAACACTGGTTTTCAATGTTTAGTCTCTAATTCACATACCTTCCAACTTAAAAAGGTGTTTCATGTTCCATTTATCTCAGCAAATTTAGTCAGTGTTGCTATGTTCTGCTCAGACAATAATACATTAATTGAGTTTCGATCTAATAGTTTCTTTATAAGGGATTTATATACGAAAAAGGTGCTTGCTTGAGGTAGACTTGAGAATGGTCTTTACATGTTTTCAATATTGAACAATAAGAAATTGGTTTATGTTGGTGTTCATAAGCCTTCTACTTTTCATTCTCATAATTTTTGTCTTGTTAATAATAAAGTGGAGTTATGGCATCACAGACAAGGTCATGTTGCTACTGATATTATAACTTGAGCAATGCATTGTAATGTTTCTTATGGAAAGAATAAAGCTATTATTTCCTCTACTATTTGCTCTTCTTGTCAACTTGCTAAAAGTTATAGGTTACCTACTCATCTTTCAATTTCCCGTGTATCCAAACCTTTAGAACTTGTTCACACTAACATCTGGGGACTTGCTTTTGTCAAAGCAATATCTCATGCTAAATACTTCATCGTATTTCTAAATGGCTACTCTTGGTACACATGATTTTATCCTTTATAAATAAAGGACCAAGCTCTTTCTATCTTTAAGCAGTTCAAATTTCAAGTAAAAAATCAATTGATACTAGAATCAAATGTATATAGTCTGATAATGATAGTAAGTTCTGGTCCTTTATATCTTTTCTTCAGTAATCTGACATACTTCATCGTTTTTTTTTCCCTTACAACTCAGCTCAGAATGGGAGAGTTAAGAGGAAGCACATGCACGTTGTTGAGACTGGGTTGACATTGTTGGCTCATGCCTCCTTACCAATGAAATTTTGGCAATATGCCTTTTAGACAATAACTTTTCTTATAAACAGAATGTCAAGCCAAGTACTCAATCAAAACTCACCCTATTTCATCCTTTTCAACAAAATTTCTGATTACAAGTCTCTTAAAATGTTTGGTTGCTTGTGTTACTCATTCATTCGTCATTACAACAATCATAAGTTGCAGTAGCGATCTGTTCAATGTAATTTTCTTGGCTATAATTTTAATCATGAAGGATATTTGTGTTTTAAGTCAATGACTAGACGAGTCTATATTACTTATGTTATCTTTTATGAAATACAATTTCCCCTTACTAAACCTTCTACTTCAAACAATAATGCCTCAACAATAACTTTCACTCCAACAATTATAACTTTCTTTACTTCTTCACCTTCCTATTTTACTGGAAACCATGACTCACCATCATTCCTTTTACCTTTTATGAGTGATAGTTCACATTCTATGAGTAGTTCTAAGACTACTCTTGCCTTCAGTACCTTACTTAAGTTGTTTCATGAGGCTCTACCTTCCTCTTCTCCTCCAGCTCCATGCATGACAACACGATTAATGAGTGGTATCACCAAGAAAAAACCTATTTTTTTTATCTCTATGCTGTAAAGGTCTCAGAACCTTACACTTTTAAATAAGCCCTCAAAGATCCAAACTGAACTCAAGCTATGGATCTAGATATTATTGCGCTTTATCGAAATCATACTTGGGATCTTGTTGAACAACTTTAAGTTGTCAATATAATAGGTTGTATGTGGGTGTACAAGCTGAAACACAAGCCAGATAGGAGTATAGAAAGGTATAAGGCCAGGCTTGTGGCTAAAGGATATATCAAACTCACAATCTTGATTATTTTGAGACTTTTAGTCCAGTTGTTAAAGCTATAACTATTTGAATCATAGTAACTATTGCTCTCAGTTTTAAGTGGGAATTGTTATAGCCTGATGTTCATAAAGTGTTTCTAAATGGTGAGCTAGAAGAGCAAATATACATAACTCTACCTCCTGGATACGTGAACACTATATTCACCATCAAATTGTGTAGATTGAAAAATGCTTTATATGGCCTGAAACAAGCACCATAAGCTTGGTTTCAATAAGTTAGTTATATTCTTCTACAATAAGGTTTCAACAATTCTAGGACTGATAGTTCTATGTTTATACACTTTGATAAATCCACAACTTTTATTGTTCTTGTCTATATTGATGATATAATCATCACTGTTAGTTCATCACTACAAATTACTTCACTCATTGCCAAACTTGATTTTGTTTCTGCCTTAAGAGATTTAGGGTAGCTATCCTACTTCCTATATATAAAGGTTTCTTACCATGAAGGTTCTATAAATTTAAGCCAAACCAAATATGTTTCTGATTTGCTACATAGAACTACCATGTTTGATACCAAACTAGCAAAAACAACTAGTGTTGTTGGGTAGAATTTATCTAAGTGTGATAGTGATCTTATAGAAGAGGTTACTCAATATCGGAAGTAGGAGCACTTTAGTATCTTATCATAACTAAGTCTAATATAGCTTTTGTTGTTAACAAGGCGTGCGAATTCATGCAATAACCAACCTCTACTCACTGGCTTTTTGTCAAAAGGATTCTTCAGTATCTAAAAGGCACTATGCATGATGGATTATTGTGAAGTCCTTCAAACCATAGTTTTGAAACACAGCCGACTCGCGGCTGGAACTGGACTGGATTGAAGAAAAAATAAAGGAAGGAAAAACACGGTTAACCAGGAAAGGCCAGTTAAAAATTCGGTCGTAACCCGTTGACTTTTTTTATACTAAAACGACGTTGTTTTGATTTTAAAAAAAATTAACTTGGGCAACCAGATCAAAACTCGAAACCCGGGCCTTGGACTAGCCCGGCTACCAGGCCGAGTCTAAAAACTATGCTTCCAACTACTTGACAATAGAGGGATTCACTGATGCAAACTGGGATGCTCAACCTGATGACAAGTACAATACAAGTGGATATCAGATTTATCTAAGAGGTAACCTAGTCTCTTGATCCTCCTCCAAACAAAAGGTTGTATCTCGCAGCGATGCAAAATTAGAGAATTGTGACCTTGCCTTAGCTATTGTTGAAATGGTTTGGATGCAAGCCTTGATGCAAGAACTTTGTGTATCCATACATGCAATCCCTCTACTCTGGTATGATAATATCAATGCTTATCATATAGTAAAGAATCATGTGTTTCATGCCAGAACAAAGCATACAAAAATCAATCTTTTCTTTATCCGTGATTAAGTTATATAAGAGAAAAGACATAACTGCTTTTTATTCCTATTGAAGAGCAGGTTGTAGATCTATTGACTAAGCATCTCACAAGTTCAAAGTTCTTGTCTCTCAAAACACAGCTTTGTATATTTTCCTGACCCTTTAATTTAAAGGGGGAAGATAAGCCAAGCCTAAAAAAATCTCTTACGTGAAATTACCCAACTTATTAACTTATTATTAGGATTGTATTATATTGTTATAATTGTAAAGGAGTTAAAGCTAGACAAAACTTTTCTAGTTTGAGTTAGAGCATGAGATTACGAAAACTAGCAAGAGAAATTACTGTACTCAATTATAAGAACATGATTACGCTTTATTTTCAAGAGAAATTATTATAAGATACATGCAAGTACGAGAGCTTGAAACAAGCAATGAAAGAAAACACAAATATCTTAGATCATAAATATTGCCATAACTAATTAGAGGTTCATGATCGAAGATCACGATTGGTTAGCAGTGTATATATGATGAGAAACCATATATATCTGTCACCAAATCTCTGACAAAATCCACCAGAAATATTGTATATGGCAACAACCAATCAGCACTTAACAAGAGTAAGAAACACTGCAAGAGTCATTGATCTTGACGGTGTATTCATGATGAGGCTTTGAAAGGAAGGGTGGCAAGCGAACCAGCAGTTGACACACACATTCAGGATCCACATCACTCAGCCACCGACAACAATTTTCTTCTAGCATTCCTCCGTGGTTATGCCCATGGCGGCCTCCGAGCCGATGCCCGTTCCTGTGTCTGTGGCCATGCCCGTGCCTATGCCCGTGGTTGTTGTCGTCATCTGCAGGTAAGGCAGCAGTAGCGGAGGGCAGGGAGGTAGCTGGTGGAGCTGGAAGTAGAGTTCCGCAAGCATAGTTCACCAGAGCAAGTTGAGAGACGCATAGGGGGCGTAGAGTTCCGCAAGCATAGTTCACCAGAGCAAGTTGAGAGACGCAGAGGGGGCGTTGAGGTTGAGGTTGAGGTAGAGGTCTAGGTTCCTGCAGCTGGCCATTAACATCGAACACAAGCAACAACAATACTGCGCAGAAAGTAAACACAAAAACCTTGAGATTCTCCATTAGAAGTATATCTCTCTATTTGCAAGTGTACATGCACCACAAGCTTTCTGACATCTGCTCTAAATACTAGCTAGCCTTGGTTTCCTTATATACTGATGTTGTGCAGCCATAACCTTAATTTTGTTTCTAGTAGTTGAAGTTTTGGTGCTTTAGGAGATAATTAATCAAAGGGTGATTGATCATCAGGAGAGCACTGGTTTGTTTAGGTAAAATTATGGAGAAGAACAGCTCCAGAATAGTTAAAGAACGTGCATTCGTTATGCGTGACAACCAGTTAGGTTATATATTGCATGAGCATGAAAACGCATCCAGGCTACCGATTACCAATCTTGTTCCTACCAGTGGAAACCATTTTATTCTATAATAAAGTCTCTGTGCGTGGGATTAATTTTAAGACCCCCCAGAACCACCCTCTGCTTCACAGGTGATCGAGCTTTTCCATTTTCAAGGTTCTAATTACCGGTTAGCTTTCTATTTTTTTTTTTGATAATTTTACATCGTTTTGATGCGATGTGTTAAAAATAAATTTTAAAAAATAAAAAAATATTATTTTAATTCCTTCCAAACAAGAATCACACAACCAATACAAAATAGCTAACAACCCCTGCTATGATAAGCACCCAATTGATTTCTTTCCTGTGGAGAGAGTTGAGGCTCAACATGATATATGGGAAAGTCTATAATGGCGATGATTTGAGCATCCGTTCAATGTTATAGGTTTCAAGTGCATTGGATTTAAATAAAATTATAAATAAAATTTTTCATATATAAAACAAAGCCAAAAAAAGCAGAGGATTACATGCAGAGAAAACAGAGCTGCTCGGTTGTTCTATCATGTCTTGTCACTAATTGGCCCCCCTGCCATTAAAATTTGCAATGGCAGCATTAAGCTTAAGTCACCGTTTTGGAGTCATAACTGTTTTTTTATTAAAATTTAAATTTACTTACTTAAAATATTATTTTAGAGTGGGTTTCAATCTCAAGTAGGAAGACAACAGCGAGCTATCTAGTTTTTTTTTTTTTTACATTTTTTATTGATTTTTTCCGAATAAATTACATTATTTTATTTAATTTTTGTTATAAAATTATTCATATCTTATAATCAATCAAGTTGCAAATTTATATGTTGAGAAAAGTTAGCTGTTTTTATCCTCTTTTAAAATTTATTTTTTAAAATTTATTTTCAACATTGATAATTGAAATACTCATTCAATTTTGCTTTATTATCATATAAGATTTTCAAAACCTTTTAACAGTATTTAAAAGGTATAATTTATAATATTGGGAAGAATTTATTTTTTATTATCATTATTTTTTTTTATAATTATATTATTAAATTAACAAAGTTTATTAAATTTATTTGAATTATGAATTTTTCTTGCTCGTCGGAGCATGTTAGAATAGACTTAACTTAGCCATGATTGACAGTGTTTTGGCAGCGGCCGAACACACAGGTTTTTTTTTCCTGCTTTCTGGGCTTCACCCTGTTTTAACTTAAACCTTCTTTTGAAGAACAAGCTCTCAGCCAACTACATTAGTTAGAGAGCATAAGTTTACTCAACCTTCTATCCTTTTTAGCATGTGCATGTAAAATTGAAATTCATTCTTTTTCCTGGTATGGAGATTGAGATTCAATGATTAAATGACCAGATAATTGCGTTGGAATACTGAGTTTATATGTAATCTCCTATTACAGTCATGATGACAGTACTATAACAGCTTATTCATGAACGCTCATTGGCAGACTAATGACCTTAAATTTCCCAGGGTATCGCTAAGAAATCAAGGGTTAATTAATTAAGGAGATGCAGCTTACTCTCTAACAGTTAATGAGTGAAGTTTATCGAACTTGTATTATTAGATTAGATGTAAATAACTGCTGTTGAGATGCCATGCTCCATTGGAGTTACAAATGCATGTCACAACTGTAAGTAACATTGCATGCCTCAGCAACATTGACAGTGTACGTGTGTGCAGGCTTCGAGAGGAAAGAGGGCAGGCGATATAGCACATCGCAGACACACTCTTCATCTAACTCTTTCAACCATTTGCAGCAATTGTCTTCTGAAGATGATCCATTGTGACTGCCACCATGCCTTTGTCTATGCCTGTGTCTGCGCCGCCCATGACCGTGATCATGTCCATTCCCATGCCCGTGCCCGTCATCGGAGGTAAGAGGGTGGGTTGGCAATGAGTAGCCTAGAATCACTGAACATGCATGGTTCACTAGAGAATACTGGGGCATGCAAAGTGAGCGTTGAGGTGGGTCTGGGACAGCCTTAGTCATGGGATCAAGTAAAAGAAACGCAGCAAGAAGCGCTATTGCGAGAATCTTGACCGTGCCCATCTGAGTTGCCTAGTACAGAAAAGAACTGGTTTCAAGAACACCACAACAGTTTCTGCTCTTTTTATACTAGGTTTTCTCACGATCTTTCTGTTTCCTCTGGTTCGGTATGCCTGTGGGGATTGCAAAGGGAGCTGCTGCTTTTTTAGTTGATATGCATTAAAGAGTACATGGTCTGAATTGTTATCGCGACTCATTTGCTTTGTGTGATTACGAGTTAGGTACAAGGCAGCCCTTGACAGAAAACAACTTAATTTTTCCCTAGGAGCTAAAATAGTGATTTATTGCAACATCATGAAAGTGCAAAATCACAAAGATTTTTAGAGAAAGTTATTACTTCATAGGATACCTGCACAGCCAGTTTTCATTACCGGTCGGTCAGACAACTAACAATTGAGCAAACTTGTCCTTTTCAAACTCAACTGCTCGGCTGTCTCCGGCCACCCCTCTTCTAAAGCTTGCTAAGCAGTATTTCTAGTGCGAAAAATCTTGCCCGTTTTCACTCTAATGGTAGAAAGCTGTGCGACATGAAACAAAAACGGGGGAAACAGGACAACGGCAAGTGATGCCCCCCTGCCTTTCAACCATTTTACTTCAAAAACCATATCACAACCTCCAGACTTAATCAACATAATTAGAGCATATAATTGAATTCATTAAACCTAAAATCTGGATTCTAAACAGTTTTCCTCACTAAGAATTCTATTTCCATGAGCAATCCTACCATCAATTAGTTATTGTACAAGGGTTATCGATCAGAATTTTTAATCAAGGTTAAGTTTCCAATGAAAATATAGTTGTAATTATTTTTAAAAATATTTTTTATTTTTAAAAATATTTAATTTTTTTTATTTTTAAAAATTATTTTTGAGATCAGTGTATCAAAACAATCCAAAACATACAAAAAATTAATTTTTAATAAAAAAATTAATTTTTTTAAAAATATAATTTACTAAAACCCATAATTATTGCATTGAGATACACCTTTATTTCTTCGTAACAACTTTAAATCCATTTAAATCAATTAACTAGATCCACTTTTCTGTTCTTTATCTTCTAGTTTTTCTATCAAAAATATTTCTATATTTTAAATTTATAAATAGCTTTCTACTTATCATTATTACACCTAAAACATAATCTCTTATCTTTTCTTCTTTATTTAAGTTAGGATATGTTTTTAAATATAAAACTTGGGTTTTATATCCATCTTGAGTTGGTTTGATGGGCAATCCTTCTTTAAATCCCACTAGTATTAGGCCTCCATCTCCTGCATACTACTTGTATATTTTATTTTTGTATTTTGACCAATCCATAAGCTGGAACTAAATTTTAAGGATTCAACATTTTTGTATCAATCTTAATTTCCTTTTTTAATCCTTTCAAAAAAACAACTTAATCTATGTGAATATGATACTCCTCTCACCCTACTTGATATAAGCTCTACTTGGGTTTTATACCCTTCCATTATAGTGGTTTATTTTAGGCTAATAAATGCTTTTATAGGATGATTATAAATAATCATTCTAAAATAGACTTGTAAGGCCTCGTAAATGAATCTCAGCTAGTAATGACTCATGTTTCTCCCATCTCTTAAAACTATGCAATAAACCTTCCATTTATATGAAACTAGTCATGAATAACTCATGTTCAGGATTAATATTATGATAGTTTTAAAAAATAATTGGCCTTACAGACCTAACCTTCAGGATCCTCCTCATCAAACTTAGAAAAATCTAACTTCATGGGTTTTAATTGAATATGGTTTTCTTCACAAGGCTCCAGTACCTATCGATGATTCTCATTAATAGAAGTTATAAGGATATTTCATGGTGACTCTACTAGCCTCATTCCTCGAGCCTCTAGTTGATTTACTTTCGCTGAAATTTGTTGTAACTACATAACTAAATCTTCTAATACATGATCTTGAGTTTTTTTATGGTATTCTTGTTGCTCATGTTGTTGCTTCAAACTAGTTACTGTGTCGATTAATTATATCATTTTTATGCTTTTATTTATTATTTATTAGGGCTCTGCTACAAATTTATAATGATTCTCACTTATTATAACATAATAATTTTTTGTTTGATAAGAAAATTAGGAATTTTATTGGTGATTGCATTTATAAGAATAGGTGTAATTTAAAAGAATGATAATTTTGGATTTTTAATTAATTGAAAATACTAATTGATAAGGAAAAAAATTAAAAAATAAAAGTTTTTTTTCTTTTACAGATTTAAAATAGCTTGGGCCTCGAATTCTAAATTAATAACTTCATGGCATTCAACATGTCTCTCTTATTTCTAATAACTATTATTTATAAGCAAAAATTAGAGATAAATTAGAGATAAATACATATTGAAATTTTAAAAATAACATGGACTTCATTAGATTAGTTGTTAATATGTTGTGTTGATTTCTTCGTAAATGTAGATTATTTTTTAATGAACATTCATAGTTCATGAATTACTTATAATAATATTCATTCTTATCATATAATTATTGGTTCATTAATATTAAATATTTTTTATTAACCAAACTCAAGCCTAAACTCACCAGGCTATAAGTCCATTTTCCGCCCATAAAACAATTTTTGGCTTGAAATTTTTATTATTGAAAGGCTTTTCTAGAATAATTTCTCATTTATCTTCATTTAGTTTTTAAAACATGTTATATTTTATGTTAAAGCACTTATATTGGATTACAAATGCAACATAGCTTTAAACTCAAATGTGAGTGGACCTTTTACATAATTTGACTCTAAAATGTACATTGCATGTTTTATAAATCAATTTTGAAAAAAGACACATTTATAGGATTGAAGTTGAGTCTTGTTTTATAGTTTTATTAACAATTTTATAATGAGATAAGAAAAAAGATGTAACATGTTATGCAAGATCTTCTTTTAAAAAAAAATTAAAAATATATACAAGTGTAGTTGTTTCGACCTCAAAACTTGAATTCGATGTAGAGTAAACATGAAAAAACAAAAAATCCTAATAACATAACAAATAACAAAATATAAAATTTAGAATTCCTCATCTTCTAAATTTATTTTAGAAGCCCTAACATGAATTCTAATCAACTTAAATGACTCCTCACTTTTTGCTTGATAAAAGATTTCTCAAATTCAAAGTCTTAATTAACAAACTCAATAAATGACTTTTCTTTTTTAGATGGGTCAATTAGCCTAAATATATTTGGATATTTAGACACCAAATTGACCAAAAAAATCATTAGAAAAACAAAATTCTCTTTCACTTGAACTAATTTATTTACACTTATCATTAGTCCTCTTCAGTAATTTGCATAATTTTAAAACAATCCATCCCTTATTTTCCAAAGGAATCCTTTTTTTAAAAAAAAATCTTTATTAATGGCTAATATAGACAAATTAGACAGGTTCTGACTAGAACTTGATTTAATTATAATAAACATCAAAGAGTCAGGTTTTTATCAAGAAAAGTAAAAATTTTAATACTAGAGCACAATCTATTGCACCTTTTTTCGAGGTAACAAGAGAGGATTACTTGACCAGATTTGTTAAGGATCTCTTTGACAACCTTTAAGTGAAGTTTATATCACTTATCTCTTTTAATAATATAGTTTAAATAAGATTTTTAGGCCACATAACTTTGAGGCTTGAAATGAATTTGGAATGGATGTTGAATATTAATTTTATAACATATTTTTTTATATAAAAAGTGCTTAGTACCAATTAATATTACAAATAAAGTAGGTTTTGAAAAGCATATCTACAAAATATGACCATTTAGAACCAACTTAATATTCTTCTTTTTTTCAATTATATTTTGTAATATTAGATTATTTTGGGAATTATGCTTTGTAATTTTTTTTAATTTCCTTGATGTTGAATTTTATACTAGTTTCATGGATTTTTTTTTCTTGTTTTCAATCTTCAACGATAGATCTATTGAAAGTGGAGTTTTGTATATATTTTTTTCAATTGTTTTTTTATGAAATTATTTTGATATCATGAACTAGATTGCAAATTTAACAAGTTAACTTGGGTTTACTCGTGTTTTTTTTTTTTGCCTTTTCTAATTGGTTGTTTTTACCCTTTGACATTGGTTTGATTGAAAATTGAGTTTCATAATTTTTTATGGGATTATACCTATCTCATGAGACGTGGTCATGGATTTGGTAAGTTAACGTAGATTAACTCGGTTTATTTTCTTTATTCTTTTTTAATTAAATATTTTTTTCAATTTTACCTTTCAATAACTCAATCTTCTTTTATTTACTTAGTTTTTTTTTAGTTTTATCATTCAATATTAGGTTTTATAAAAATTAAATTATATAATTTTTTTAATTTTATTTCTATGAAGTTTTTCCGGTTTCATAGATTTAGTGTTTTTTATTGCAACCTTAATATTAGATCTATTGGAGATGAAACTTTGTAATCTTTTTATGAAATTATTTTAGTTTCATGACATAAGTCGTAGGTTTAACAAGTTTGCTCAGGTTGATATTTTTTATATTTTTTTATTCTATCCTTCAACTTTGAATTGGTTGGAAATTAAGATTTGTAATTTTGTTATTTTTTATAAGATTATCTCAATCTCATATTCTAAATTAATGGTTTGACAGGTGGCTTAGGTAATTTTTTTAATTTAATATTTTTATAATTTTATAATTTAACAATAAATTAATTAAGAATTAATCTTTATAATTTTTTTTTAGTATTACGATGGTTTTATAATCAAAATCAAATATATAATAAATTAACTTAGATCGATTCAATATATATTTTATAATTTTTAAAAACAAATATAATTTATTATACATGTTATTTTATTTTCTTTATTATAATAAAATCATCCGACTCGCAGGACAGTGCTCGAAAATAATGTGATAGCTATTAAAACTACAGGGCTAATTAAATTATTTTGTAAAGCCAAGAGGACGAAGTTAAATCCCAGCTCCCATGGAAAGCGAGAGCCCTTCATGTCTAAATCTGGTGACAGCTGACGGACGAAGCCCCTTAAGCCACACCACGCAAACCAAAAGCAGTACCCGCATCCACGAAAATTCCACACACACGCACACACATATATGTAGATATAAATAAAATATAAATAAATAATAGTACGGTGAAGGCGGTAATGTATTTTACAGTGACTCCGTGTCAGAGTCAGAGTCAGACCGCAATGCAATCGAACAACCTGTAATAAATAAAGGTGCAATTACAAACCTCAGATTAGTCTCTCAATTATCCACCATTTCTCAACTAGGTCCCCTAACTATTAAGTTTTCCAAATGAGTCAAAGAAGCATTAGATGTTCTCCAATTGAATCATCTCTTGTATAATTTACAAGCGTTTTCAGTCTAAATCATGTATACCATTTATATTGTAACACGAGAGGTTCTACTTTATAGTATTATTTATATAAACATAATATATGTAGATATACATTATTTTTTATTTTATATATATATTTAACAGGTGGAAGCCTTGAGTAATCTTTGAGTATTTAGGGTCTTTTGTTATTTGAGAGCAATTTTTATTTCATAAAGTATAATTTGTAAATATATCTTATTTATCTTTAAGAAGTTTTTTGTTAAATGGGGGCCTACGTAATTTCTTAACTTAATCCGGCTCTGCTTTAATCAAGAAACATAAGGTGCTTTTAAGGATCCAATTAAAAAAATAATATTTGGGTATTACATTGAGGATACTTTCATAGTAAGAGGACTAATTTGATATTTTCTATTTAATTCGATGGACTTATTCTCCCGATAAAAAAGCTAACATACAGTCAACAACAAATACCCAAAGCCAATCTCTTTCTCTTCTCTTCTCTTCTCTTCTCCCTTAAGTAAACCACACCACCTTCGCCTCTCCCTCTCTGTCTCTGTGTACCGTCCAGTTCGAAATCGCAAGGTCTGTGCTTTTTTTATAATCGTGATTAAATTCAATTGAATTAGCGGAATTTTGAAATTATATTCGTTGTTGATTCTTTTTAACAAGGCGGAAGAACATTAGGGTTTCTATGTTTTATTATTTTATTGTTAACGTTTGGTGTTTTACTTTGAATTAATATTTTTTCTTCTTTCTTTTTTACTCGCAGACTATTGCTGTTTAATAATAATAATATAATGGGTTTCAATACAGTTTATAAATGCTTGACTGACGTGTTCCCTCAGGTATCTACACTATACCTCTCATCTCTTATTATTGCGGAGTCTAATTGCCCCATAACGTGTGGATTTTTTTTGTGATCGTGCGAAATGGTTGTGATTAAGGCATTGTTTTCGTTGATTACTGTAATTTCTAACTGTTTTGAAGTTGTGTAATGTTTTAATCATAAATCGAAAATCCCATTTATGTCAAGCATCAAGAGTTTCACTTAAGTTTGATAATTGATTTTTTTTTCCTTTTTGGGTTAAGTCTCCAATATTTAATAATGCTCTGTCTATGTTAATTAGTAGGGTGTCTAGTTTTTACTCCTTTATTATTATTGTTATTGTTTCCGAGTGAGGCGTTGTTGGTTTAAATTCATTCACCTGCTCAGGTTGATGCACGAATTCTGAAGGCAGTTGCCATTGAACATTCAAAAGATGTCGATGTTGCTGCTGAAGTTGTTCTTTCAGAGGTTATTCCTTCACTTTCCAGGCGTTCTGCAGCTCCTAGTCCTCCCTGTGAGGATTCCAGCCCAAGTCTTCCATTAGATGGACAAAGTACTATTTGAGCCCCTCAAATCACTTTAACAAATATTTAACTATGTTTATCCAAATAAAATTGGTTCCTTTATTTTTTGGCACATCTTTTTTCAATTCAATAATGAAATTATGACTTATCAAACATCTTGATGTGCAGCCGAACAAGAGGAAGAAACTGGGCTGAGGCCTCGGCAAGTTAGTTTGGTGAAAAGTGTGACATCTTCTGAACCAGGATTGATAGCCGAAGAAGATGATGGGAAAACTGAGTTAACAAGTGGTGTCAATGATGGTGATTCAACCCATCAAGAAAATAGGCAGGATCAACCTATAGTTGGACCTTCTGGTGCAAATGCTGACACCAATCAGTTGCAAGGGCATATTGAAAGTGAGGAATTGATACTGCTGGGAAAGCCCCAACACCAAGAAGGCATTTCACAACCGGGGTCAAGTCAGACTCTGGTACTAGAGTCAAATGATTTGCTGCTGGGAGTTAATGCTGAAAATATGAATTCCAAGCAATATAGACAAATTGAACTTCTTGAAGAGATTGTCGAAGCTGCTAAAGACAACAAGGTATTGTTGGCTTTGAATTTTTTTTCTTGGTTTTGAATCTCAAATTATTGACAGTGGAACATATTTGTACACCATGCATCCACTAATCATGGAGATTATTTATTATTTCTTGTTGCTTTACTTGTATTTAAAACAGTTCATTGTGTTATATTCTTATGATCTTGTTTGATTTAGTTGATCAAATTCACTAAACATATAGCTTTATAATGTACATAAAGTTTGAAGACTTTTCTTTATGTGGTTTGGAGATAGAGTGAGATTTGCATTTCTTTGACTGTACAGTTCCTAATCAATTTAAATGCACTCTTTCTTTTTTTAACTTGATACAGAAAACCTTGTTTTCGGCAATGGAGTCAGTTATGAACATGATGAAAGAGGTTGAACTTAAAGAGATATCTGCAGAACAAGCTAAAGAGGAGGCTGCTAGGGGAGGTTTGGACATTCTAGTTGAGGTGGAGAAACTCAAAAAGATGCTGGTACATGCAAAAGAGGCAAATGACATGGTACGAAAATTATAATAATGTATTTAATCACTGGTTGTGGATTATGCTCATTTAATTTTGAATGTGTTTTTGTCTTTTTTTTTCTTTTTCTTTTTTTATGATTGTTTGCTTTTGTAGCATGCTGGAGAAGTTTATGGGGAGAAGGCAATCCTAGCTACTGAAGTGAGGGAGTTGCAGGCTCGACTACTTAGCTTATCAGATGAAAGAGATAATGCTCTTGCTATTCTTGATGAGGTATTGTCCTTATAATTTAATGGTGTATTTTTTATTTAAATGTCTTTCACACAATGTATCCTCTTGAAATCTCGTTGAGGAAGTATTCTATTATAACTTCACACCACCTTTTTCTTTCCCTGTCTGTGCCTACATGTTGAACTGTAATTATTCTTCTTTCCATCATTTTATGAAGGCTTTTGGTTTACTAATGTATTTTAAGTGAAAGAATGCATCATCTGTAGTCCTTATTGTTGCTAACCTGAACAAAAATTGCGTATAGGTGCGCCAAACCCTTGAATCACGACTAGCTGCAGCAGAGGAGCTAAGGAAAACAGCTGAGTTAGAGAAGCTGGAAAAGGAGGAGACTGCACGAAATGCTCTTGCTGAGCAAGAAATCATAATGGAGAAGGTGGTGCAAGAGTCAAAAATTCTACAGGAGGAGGCGGAGGAGAATGCTAAGGTGGCAATGCAGTGCCCACTATCACTCATAGTAATCTTAGGGTGTCTTGTCCAATTAAACAATAACTATTTGTTACTAATCCTTCTAATTTTGATATTTTGCAGCTGCGGGAGTTTCTTATGGACCGCGGTTGTGTTGTTGATACATTGCAGTAAGTCTTCCTCTGATTATTTTGATTAAGTTCTGCATTTTATATTTTGCTCTTTCCTGGTGACCTGAATTTACTGAATCTGATTTCTTTTGTTGCTTATCTTTAAACTCAAAGGTTTTCTGTTAGTAATAGGTTTTTAGTTGGAAATATTGGTATCTCAAGGTTGCATGTTTGTTTTAGTTCTTGCAAATCACTTCCTGTTACTTATTCTGCTATTGCTTTTTTCATCCATCATTTTTGTCTGTCTTGCAAATTAATTTCTTTGCAGGTCAAAATTAACTTTTCTGCTAATTCTTAGTTGATGCCTCTTGAGAACCATCATTTTTTAGGGATCTTGAAAAGATTTAAGTGATGATAATATACTTTGTAAGCCGCATTTTTGCAGAGGAGAAATATCAGTTATTTGTCAGGATGTGAGACTGCTGAAAGAGAGATTCGATGAGCGTGTTCCATTGAGTAAATCTGTTTCTTCAAGCCAGACCAGTTGCATTTTAGCCTCGTCAGCTTCATCCATTAAAAGCATGGCATCCAATCTGGCTGCTGAAACAGGCGAGACATCTGAGCTTCCAAAAGAGCCAATCCTTGCTTGCTCGGTGGAAAGGGATTTCTCCAACGAGAAACAGCTTTTGGATGATGGATGGGATTTCGTGGAAGAGTGACCCAGAAACATAAAGGAGCCCTTGTAAATAGTTGAATAAAGTCAACAGTCGCAGTTTATAGTTATTTTTATATCAACATTGGTGATTATGATTTTAGACTGCTAGGTTATCTTATCATTCCCTCGCTCACAGCCAATGTTGATTTCTATACAATCCATCTCGTTATTGTTGTAAGAATTTGAATATATTTTCAGAGCAACTCATATTTTCGGCGGTAGAAGCAAAAATTGTTTGGAAGAGTAAGGTACACCATTAATCAAAGTTCAGGGAAGTTTTCAAGGATTCGAGATTTGTTGAGAAGGAAATTAAGAGAGCATAATCGAAGCTAGAATATAATTCATAGGCAAATTGATAAATTAGAAGCATCAAGTATGGCTTGATAATGATGTATTCCCGCGTTGTTCTCTCGACTATATATATATAAAGTAATTGCATGGCTTGAGGGTTGATGCTGATCAAGACTATCGGGATCAAGTGGTTCAGTGGTTCTCTCAGTTTATGCTCCTGATCTTTTCTCAGCCATCGGGTGCTGGATTCCTTGTAGAACGAATATATCGACATCTAATTTAATTTACAGAAACCCACTGAACATAAAGAAACTCCAGTTGACGCAGAATAATAGGATCCCTCGGATCCCACCCTCAAACAACCTTACAAGGTTCCAGGAAGTGGATGATGTCGGAAATAGATTTAAACTAGTAAGAGTTCGTAAGTCAACTCAGTAGTCTTTTGTTTCTTTCTTCCACGCATTTTTACACCAAGACAAGTCCGGATTCCAACCTCTGTGTATTGTTAAAAAAGAAAAAACCAGAAGAACTACGTTAACTATTTGGACTCTGTATAAACTCTACATGACAGAGAACGCACAATTTACAGCCCTTAAGTTAGCCGTAGCAAAGTTACTGCTTAGTAATTGAGGATCAAACATCAACCCAACAACACTGGACACTGATTGAGCCTCCATTGCCTGATGCAAGCTCGCCCATCCATCCATCAAAGGTTTAGCAGAACTCTAGTCATGCCAACATAGAAGCATCACGGTGCATCTCCATATTATGTAAAGCCGTGTTCTTTGCTCTCTGATTTGCTTTGAACACCTCTGCCACGACCTTAGCTTCATGTTCCTCATTGACAATGCATCTGCTGCCATCTTAGAGCTTAATTAGGGAAGGAAGTGTAATTGCTGAAGGCAAGTAAAGCGAGCACTTGATTTTGGCTTCTTGTGCAGTAGAAGTGGTGGTTTGAACTTGAAGGGCTCTCATGGATCTTGAGGCCATTATATAGAGAGATTTGGAATGGAAGATATGTGAGTGACAAATATGTGGTGATAGACGAATGGTGGACTGCGTTCAGGGCAATGGGCCAGGTGTTGCTGTTGATGTAAATATTACAAAGAATACTTACTACCTTGTCTCCTTTGCCCAAAACAGTCTGATATGGACCTTGTCTTCGACTTGGAAAGAGTTTGCGACAGTAATAAATGTTGAATTTTAAAATATTTTTTATTTAAAATTTATTAAAATAATTTTTTATTTTTAAAATTTATTTTTATACAAACACATCAATCCAAAAATATATGAAAGGTTAATTTTTTTAATTTTATTTTTTAATATTGATTTATTTAATTTGTTTATAATAAAATTACTTAAATATTACAAACAAGGGGAAGCCAGTCATATTATCATTACATTTTTTTATTTATATTATCAAAATTATAAAAACTTATTAAACTCAATCAACACATTATCTAGTGAATAATTGTTACCCTGCATCCTGGGAAATACACTTTATTTTCTATATTTTTCTTTTAAAAAATTTAATCCTTACTGTTTTATATTTTTATATTTCAGTCCTCAAACTTATTTTCATTTTGTTTCAGTCCATAGGTTGTAACAGATGACAAAGAAAGTTAGGACCATAAAAAAGCTTATCTTGATATTAATTGGTTTATTAGTATTCCTTTTAAAAATGCTGGAAAAATTACACCGGGATTCATAAATATATTTTTATTCAATTTGATTTTTTATTTTTAGGGTGATTTAAGGATGTTTGGGATTAAAATGAAATTATTAAAGTTTTTAAAATGTCTTGTGAGTTTTTCGATAAAAATAAGGTCTTATAATTCTAAAAACCCGAATCCGAGTCATCAAAAATAATAAATAAATAAAAAAATACTAGTAAACGTAATGTCTTCTTCCCTAGTGAACACGTTGTTCATCTTATATATGTGTGAGTGACGTGCGCACCAGGGCTCTTGTTTTTTGGTCACTCATGGCCCGTCCCTCCAAGCTCCTGCACTCCTTGTTTTCATGTGGCCGTTTATTTTATTTATTTAATAAAATTATTTCCAGATAAAATAATTATATTTAAAAAATTATCTAATGATATAGTTTTTAAATAATATTAGAGTATTTTTTATAAATTAAAAATTATCTTATAAATGATACTAAAATTGTTTATTTTTTTTTATTTTGTCCTATGATCACATAAGAATAATCAAGATATTACTTGTTATTTATTAATTGAAAGTTATTTTACAAATCATGATATATTTTTATATAAAGAACTAAGCTTTTGGTTAAAAAAAAGAAGAAGCATTTTTTGTCAAAATAAAAGAAAATAAAAGACTGAAAAAATAGTGTTTTGTCTAAAGAAATATGTTTGTTCCTTCAAATTTAAATTATCTGAATATAAAAAATTTATATTTTAATTGATTTAAGTTTATATTGAAAAACCATGATGTTGTTGGAAAAAAAATCATGGCTACGCCAAATAAAAAAATTCATAAATAAAAAAATAAAAATTTAACTAAATAAATATATTTTTTACTCCAGGTATTTATTTTAATAGTAAAAAAATTAAATAAAATAGATTTTGAAAACAGATCTACAGCATTGCGCGGCCATAAAAAAAAACCTTGAAAAAACTACACCTCCTGGTCTGTACATTACCAAAATTAATATTCTCGTCAATAAAACCCTCAATAATTAACTTAAAATATTGAATTATTTCAGCAAGTAAATTATTATCTCCCGCCCTAAAAAGAACTAGGGTAAAAACCCTGGCTCTTTCACTGTGTTCATGTGGATAGCAAATAAGCTTTTTAAACTATATTTTTTATTTAAAAATAATAAACATCAATATATTAAAATATTTCAAAAATATTTTAAAACATAAAAACAAACTATTTTCTCTGGCTATTTAACAATTTACTGTATACAAACAACCATTGAAACCAACCGTGCCCTCACTACACTCCACAATCACGTGCACCATGTCTGGCTAACTTAAAACCCATGCACCTAGTCATCCTCAATCCGACATGCCGGGCACTTATCCTTGCCGGCCGTGAGAAATCAGTTCAAACCTCAAAGTCAATCATAACGTGCCTCCTGTTCTATTTCTGTGCTTTATCTTCATGGGGGCACAGAGGGGGTGTTACTTCGTTGTCCAGAAATAACCTTACATAGACCTTATGGTAACAGTCATAACTCATATGGGGCCAGCCTGTTCGGAGTTTGTGAATGGAGACGGTGACAAGTGTTCTGTTGGGTCATCCTTTCTGGGATCTGACCAAACTGGGCCATTGTCCACGTTCTAAAGCTTGTCCTTATTCCTCGTGTTGTGATTAGGTTAGGCGAATATAGGGAAGGAGCAACCTTATCTCATCGAGGATGAAAGCGAAGGCCTGTCTAGTGACACAAATTATGTGGCAAAGTTCTTGCTATGTAGCTACAAACTAGTTTTATGGAAGCTGACAGTCAATGATCATTCTTCCTTTGGACGGAATGATGAAAAACCAGACAATTAATGGAATAGGAATGGTAATGGTAATCGTAATGGCCGCAGTTGAGGGGGCTTGTTTTCTCTTACCCTTCTGAATCAGAAAATCTCAACCCTTCACCGTGCGTTCTTGTATCCGCCCGGAAATGTCCATCGGGAATCTAACCCACCGGTTTTACAATCCTTTCACCTATACGATAGAAAAGCCATGGCGATTAAGAGGGAAATATACACGTGGGAAGTCGCAACAACTTACTTGTTGCTGGCAACTAATAAGTGTTTGAACAGCCTGCGTCCTGTGGCTAGCTGCACATGCTGCATCTAACTCGATAAAAATCCAACCTGTCGGGTGGATTTATATTGTGTCATGTGACTTGAAAGGAAATTCATGATTGCCCATCCCATGATTCTTGATTGTATTGCCCATCTCTACCTACTTGATTGTGTTACAGAAATGCAAACTGGAATTTCTTTTTAAGCACATTTTAAAAAAAATAGTATATTAACACATAGAAGAGAATATTAAAGGATATAACATAGGTTAACGGGTCTTAATTATTATCTATAGTACATGACTCGAAGATGCTATATACAGCTTTTATTTTGTAATTGTTATTGATCATAAGACGAGTTGTAAATAATATATGTGAAGATAACTCATTTCTCTCTCTTGACTAAGGTCACCATCTCGACCCCCTCCCTTTCTTTCTCTACAGTGGTTCTATCAATTTTTGGTCGAAATAGTCATCATTGCTACCGACATTTTATATTTAAAGGTATATTAAATAGTTTTTTCTTTATCAATATAATCTAATTTATACTAATTTGTGTGAATTTAATTTTTTACAATATTAGGATTTTGAATTTGGAATTTTTAAAAAAATTTGAGTTTTTTTAATTACATTAATTAGATAAAATTTGAGTATATGATTAGGTTATTTTTGTTAAATAATCAATGATTTTTTTTTTTGTTGTTGATTGTGAATTAATAAAAATATTTTGTTAAAGTTAATGTTGATTTATGTTAAATTAAATTATGAATTGTACCGAATTACATATAAAATAAGATATTTTCCTATGAAATACATAGATTTAATTGATAATTTTGTTACGATAATGAAATTTGATGGATATAGATATTTAACGATTAATATGATGAATTTAGATTTTGGTTAATTATGTTACCATTATGTTTTTGTTAATAAATTATACACTTTGATTAACCCCAAAATATTAATAAATTATATTTGTATTTTGTTGTATTATTTAACAAAATGTTTAGTTATTTAAGAATATTAGGCTTCCATAATACAAAATGTTTAGTAATTTAAGAATATTACGCTTTCATAGTGGTATCATTATCAATAACAACAATGGTATCACTTATAATAGAGAAAGTCTTGAATTTCTAACCGTTACATTAGACATATCTTTTTAACAAGTTAT